GGGCTGAGCTGCATGGGCTGATGCTTCTCTTCAGAAGGTTACAGGCACTGCCCAGGAGAGTTTGGATCCCTGAAGAGAAAGGAAAAAAGGGCTGAAAGGCTCTTCCAAGATGGAAAACCAACAGGAGTTCGATATTTGAATGAATTAACCCTCAGTGATTTCCCATGACCCACAGGATCAAGTCCAAATCCTTAGTACCGCCGCCAGGTCTTTCACCATCTGGTCCCTGACTAACTTTGGGTCTTTCCATTGTCCCAAACAACATGCATTCTGACCATTCCCAACTGCCCTTTGTTCCCTGATGCTAATGATAGGCAACATTTATCCGGGCCCTTAAAATGCCAGGAACTGGGCTAAGAGCTTTATGTGTTTCATCATCTACTCTTCAGAGCAGTCTCTGAGGCAGACGCTATTATGGTCCTCAGTTTACAAATGAGAGAACAAAAGCAGAGGTTATAAAACTGGGTCACAAGCTATTAAGAAGCTTGGGATTACAAGGCTGTATGACTCCATGGCCAGACTTTAACCACTTCACCACCTTTTCCTCCTTTGCTGTATGAGAAAATACCTCTAGAGCCTGCACCACATTGCTTTTCTGCATAGGATTGGCCTTTCTCCTTATTCAGCTGATTTTTAAAAACATTTCTTTGTTCACCCAAACCTTCAAGATCAAATATCCTCTTCTCTGGATGTCATTCCTGGCACCTGAGGCAGAGGTAGTGGCTTTCTCCTTGGAGCTCCCACACTCCTGACATAAACTCACAGCACACACTGTATTGCAATACAATGCCCTCCTCTCATGCATTCATTTTGTTCCTGGTCTGTGCAGACTCCTTAGACCTTTCCAAGAGAGTGAGTAGTAAGTGGGGAGCAACCATTGCCATGAATCCAGAGGTAGCTCAGGCTCCAGGTGATGATTGCACCCAAATGCCATGTGGCGTTTCTCAAGCAGCTCCGCAGACAGGTCCAGATGAATACCCGCCTGCTACATTCCTGCCTTTATCATTAACCACAGCTCACGGTGACTTCCTTCAACATGTGAGGCAGCGCCTGCCTGTCTGATAACCCAGCTTCCTTCTGGAAAGGATTTCCTTTGGCCTGGGTGCATACCTGGCCCTGCAAGAGTTAACCACAAGACGGCCCAGATCAGGAGAACATGAGGTTTCCATTAACTGGTGGTATGCGGACAAGTGGCACGAGCATGGATTATGCGGTAATAAAAACACACGGCGCAGTATTTGTCAGAGGCCTCACTTCTCTCCTTCCCCGCCTCCCACCCCGGCACAGAGAAACCAGGCCCTCGCTGTCCTACTGCTAGCTTGTAGCAAGTTGGTAGCAGACTTTTCTCCCAACTCGCTTTAATCCTGCTGTGTGTGCTCATCATGCCCCCAAAAGACACAAATGAAAAGAAAGAGTACCAGAGGAATTCACCCCTTGCCCTGGGATGAGTCCTAAGTGAACCAGTTGGGAGACAGAAAAAAGGAAAAGGGGCAAGGGAGAGAGAAGTGGGGAGGGCAAGAGGGCAGGAAGATGAGAGGGATGTGAGAAAGGTAGCAAAAATTGAGCTCATGTAGGAGGGGACAGTTGGATGGAACATTGCGAGGAGTCCGAAACCATATTTTCTGGGAAGAAGGGAATTCACATGTATGGTGAATTCACTATATGGAAGGTATGATGGTTAATATTATGTGTCAATTGGACTGGGCCATGGGGTGCCCAGACATTTGGTCAAACATTATTCTGAGTGTGTCTATGAGGGTGTTTCTTCTGTATGAGATTGACATTTGAGTCCATAGACTAAGTAAAGCCGATTGCCTTCCCTAATGTGGACGGGCCTCACACAATCAGTTGAAGACCCGAATAGAACAAAAAGACTGAATAAGAGGGATCTCCTGCCTGACTGTTTGAGCTGGGACATTATTCTTTTCCTGCCTTTGGATTCAAACTGAAACATTGGTGTTTCTTGGGTCTTGAATTTGCTCATACTGGAACTTACACCACTGGCTTTCCTGGGTGTCCAGCTTGCCAACTGCAGATCTTGTGACTTTTCAGTCAATTCCATAATCACATGAGTCAATTCCTTATAATAAATCAATTTCTCTCTCATATATATGTATTTTATATGTATATATTACATAATTGGTTGTTTCTCTAGAGAACCCTAATACAGCAGGAGATGCTCTGAACTCTATATATTATTATCATGGAGGCTTAGACACTTTCGGTAACACATCACACAGATCCTGCAGTTCATAAGGGAAATAAGTTTCCAAACAAGTTCTCTCTGGGCTTAATGGATCTCGCCTCCCTTTCTTTTAGTTACAGAGTTGCCCGGCCACGTAAAGGTGAGATTAGCTTCCCATTTTCAGTTGCAGGTGAGAAGTTCTTTGATCATTGCCTTTCCTTGGAGACAGAAGATGTAAAGGACCAATTGCTAGAACACAGCACCCTGGCTATCTTTCAGAAGCTCTAGCCCATGACTCAACATCCCAGGAATGTGAGTGGTTCTGAACATAATTTATTCTGGGGATCAGAAACTCTTTTTCAGACCACAGTTATTTACTAAACACTTACTATATATCTGGTCCTGTAATTTTGACAGTGAAGAAACAGATAAATAGAACAGCACTTCCTTGTCAAGTCCACAGTCTTTTTAGGGTGCCAGAAGGACATGTAAGCAAAGGCGTATAAATGCTATGACGCAGGTATGTGTAAAGCGTGTGCAAAGGTACAAAGCAAAAGGAGTGATCCATTTTGGTGGTTTGTGGGGAGAGCCAGGTGAAGTGGGGTAAGGATTCTCTGCCCAAAGCCCAGGAGAAGGCAAAGCAGATTTGGTACCAGAAAGTAGTTAGCTGTGGGTGAATAGTGGTGGTTCTCCACTCTGGTTGCTTATTAGAGTCACATGGGGAGATTTAGAAAAGTCATATGCCTGGAGTCCACCCCCAAAATCTCGGGAGGTACAATTTGAACCTCAGTATTTTTTTAAAAGCTCTGCAGGTGATCCTATTATGTTGCCAGGATTAAGAACCATGAGTGTGCTGCCCAGTGTGGATCTGGTCTAGAATGAGAGGTGAATCTGGAGAGTACAGAAGGACACAAAGATGAAAGGCCTTGGATGCCACTCTAAGCAGTTGGAACTTCCCCTGTGGGCATGCAAGGTTTTTAAATAGGGAAGTGACCTTACTTATAGGAAATGAGTCAGCACAACGGTGCAGCCTTGCTAGGCTGAGCTCTCTGGAAAATTCTGGCTTCTTCTCAGAGGGCCTGACCACCTGTGCTTACTAAGACACAGTTGATTTAACTCTTCCTTTGGTGCATGCAGCTGGAGGCCTTGTGTCCCTCTGGGGAAACCAGTTGTCTGGCAATCAGGAGACTCAAGTTCTGAATTTGCTGCAGGTCCTAATTTGTTGAGGGACCTCAGCCAGCTCCTTGCCCCTCTCTGGTCCTCAGCTTCCTACACCAAACACTTATGAGATTAAACAAATCAGTGCTTCTTTATGAGGTTGGTAGTACCTGATTGCTTTAATTTGTTATTAGCCAAAATTCTCCATGCATTTTTTACATTTCACAGAGCAATAGAGCAGCTAGCAAGGTTTCCATTAATTGAACAGGTCTAGGCTAGGAGAGGTTGGGAAAGGGTGAGCCAGGGAATTTCAAACAGTCAGTGCTTTCTTGTTTCCTTTGGTCTCTCTGACCAGATGTAAATTGTTTTCCTGATATATTTAATCTGTAGGGATATTGCTTAGATCAAGTTGCTCCCCAAATAATCTGCTCGTTTCTTATCAGGATATCCATAAGGCAATGACCCAACCTGCCCTTTTGAGATGGAGGAGAATCCAGATTTGGAGATGCTCTGTTCATTCCCTCTGGCCTTGAGCCAAGAGTCGCACCAGATTGGAGAAGGCCCTCAAATAGGCCTTCTCATCTGGGGCACTTCCTGCCCCAAGCCACTCGCATCAAGCCCAGCAGAATCTTTCACAAATTGCTGTGATGCACCTTCAATGGTTCCTCATTGCCAGGAACCAAGCCCAAGTTCTCTGGCCTGATACCGAAGACCCTTTCCAATCCTCCCTCCATCTGATTCTTATCCTCATCTCCTAATGGGTCGTTACAGTTTTCTGCCTGTCAGGTATATAGAACTGCTTACTCTTTCCAAGGATAGCCAAACTCCTTCACACTTATAGGTTTCAATCCATATAGTTCCCTCTGTTTGGAATGATTTCCTCTCACCTTCTCTACCTGGGAAACTTTTACTCATCCTATAAGCCCAGCTCACGTGTCACTTTATTCATTTATTGAAGACCTAACCTGTATTCCATGAAAAATGCCACAGACCCTTGGAGGATGAACAAAACAGAGCCCTTTAGTAATGACCCTGGTCTCTTCACTTTGCTCCTAACTTTGTCATTTTATGGTGATTATCTGTTTACATTTATGGATCTCTCTTTAGATTATAAACTCCTTAAGAATCAAAAGATCTCTAATATATCTCCGTATCCATAGCACTGAGCACAGAGCCTGGAACAGAGTAGGGGCTTAGTGAATATTTGCTGAATGAATGAGTAAAGAACGAATGAATGAATAATGTATTTGATAAATGAACGAGTGTGTGTGTGTGTGTGTGTGTGTGAATGTTCCACGTAGAGTGAGGATTATTTTAACTCTTGCGATTACCACATGTTGTAACAATGAAGACACCCCATATATTCCTTAGTCCAGATAAGAGCCTGGGAGAAACCACTGACATTTTATGGATGAGAAACTAAGACTAGACAAGGGAAGGAGCTTATCTAGATGACCAAATGACCAGCAGCCGCTAGACCTCAGCTTTTCCCACACTGTCTTAATAGGCAGCCCCCAATGGCTGTGATTCTAGTATCTTAGCACTATGGGACCCCTTAGTTCTATGTAGCTCCACTCTCCCAAACAGCATGCAGCCCTGGCATCATCACCTTGGAATCTGATCACCTGTTCAATTGCTTTCTTCCTCTATTTGATAGGGCCGGCCAGGAAGACAATGCTGACGAGGCAGTCTTCAGCCCTGCACTGACAGAAATCAGGTGTCCTCGCTTCATAAAAGAAACATTAACCGATCCGATGGGAGCTGGAGGCAGAAGTGCTGACAAAGATGTAACTCCCAAGGATTCTATGGGGCAAGGGGAAAGCATGGTTCTTTCCTAATTTAGAGGCTTTCTGGGGTTTAAACGTAGAAAGACAGAGAAGAATGAGAGGAGCCAGAGATGAAGCCTGTCAGGGAGGAATTCTCAGCAGCTCATCAAGAGAGAAGGAATGATAAGGAAGGTCACCGTCCCCCACTCTCTGTCCCACTGCATTATCCAAGTCCTTATCACCCTCTCCTGCACCCAAGCCTCTCCACTGGTTCCCTACTGTCTTCAGCCTCAATCTGTTCCCAGCTCAGTATTCACATGGCCTTCTAGTGGTCTTTCTAAATTACCTGACTGTATTTTAAATACCTTTTATTCCAATCCTTCAGTGGTTCCATGTGACTCAGATGGCATACAAGACCTCCCAAAATGTATTCCTGGTGCTGAAGGTAGCCATATCTCCCCACAAGAGGGGATTCTGTTTTCACTTACCTTGTGGGTCAGAGAAACTCTGGCAAAGATTCAGGAGCCAGAGATGATGGGTGGTTTGATGGCAGGAGTGAGCCCTTTTTCTAGAACCACCTTCCTTCCTACGTCCACATATGCACCCCACATTCCTCTCACACGAGAGCCATTTCTAGGGAGCACTCACTGACAAAGGCAACCTCCTCCATTCCCAGCCCTAAATGAGGCATTGTGAGTTTAGAGGTGATCCTACATGGTTCCTGTCCTCAAGGAACTCACAGTCTCGTGGCAGAAAAAGAAATAGAAACAAATAATTATGACAAGGAAGTAAATGCTCTCCTGGAATTCTGTTCAGAGTTTTCAGGGGCATGGGAGGGGGCCAGAGACTGACTGTATGTGGGGGAAATGAGGAGGAATTAGGGATTTGGAGGCTAGGCCTGGGAAGATGGATAGGTATTTCCCAGGAATGAAAGAGGAGAAGGAGCCAAAAGAGCTTTTCCTGTGTTATAAACCAGTTGCAAAGACTTGTAGAAGACAAATGCGGAATATTTGGAACACAAGGTATAATTAAACAGAATGGTTGAGGGCGAAGCAAGAATAAGACCTCTCATCGTGTCATCATACCTCTCTGGCTCTGTCTCCTCCTAACACCGCATCTCTTTTTCCTTGCCTTGGTCTCATTTTCTCTTATGTGGAAGAGCATCTTGCATGAAAGTTGTGGGGAGGAAGGTGGCACATATTGAAGCAGCTTCAGGCTTACATCATGCCAGCTGAAGGAGAGAAAAGCTTCTTTCTCACTATCTCACTGTGTTTTAATCCTCAGAAGGACTTGGTCTGAGGACTTTAGTCCTGCCTGCCTCCAGGACTAAACCCTGGTCACCAGTATGGAGGATATATTTAAGCAGATGATGGGTGAGGTGACTAAGGCAGGGCTCTAGGGTTATGATCTCTCTAAAATCACATGGTCAGAGTAAGGCAGGAGCAGTTTCTCAAAGAAAGATGGGTTGCTGTGACAAAGAGATGGGAGTGGGTTTAGACAGACAAAACACTAGATGTTGACCTCGTTTATGGATTCCCTTCTTCCAGGAACACCTTGGTGACTCTCTGGGAACACTACGGATTCCCCGATATTCTCTTTATCCAGAGGGCTTGTACATACATGTTCTCAATGAATATTTACTGATGATTACTTTGACACATCTAATAATAAATAAATAAATAAATAAATAAATAAATAGATTTAGTGCTTAAAAATACAATAAGAAAGAATGTGGTGAGCTGGAAATTCAGATACTGTGAAACTACTCATTTGGAAGAAATGTCTTGCTGCCCTTGGTGAGTCTGAAGAAAGACTAAGAAGACACTCAAAGAACATGTGGAGTGTGTGCAGCTGCATTTGCACCAGGAAGCAGAGCTCAGCTGAAGAGCTGCAGTCAGCATCCAAGATAGGAGGGGCCTGTCCTGGCTTTGATGCTGTGGGGATAATGGAGCCACAGTGCAAGCACAGGGCCTTTTATTGGCAGGGTAAAAAGAAGCCAGCTGGGGTTTGTCTATAGCTGAGCTTCTGATTCTATCCCATACTTCTGAAGAATACGCTCTTTGTTCCTTTGCTGCAGGTGGCACCTGTCATTACAGGACGTGGAAATAGGATAAACAGCCCTGAGCTACTTAAGAGATGCCCCTTCCTCAAATGAGTCTCAAACAGCTCTTCAAGTTCATCTCCCTCACTCTTTCTCACTCTGTCCATTTCTCTCAATGGAGGATTCAACTGAACAAGGAGCATGGTGGTCACAGAACTCTGTGTGCCGATAAAATGTCACTAATTTTTGTTACACGATGACAGTCTCAGCTTTGCTACATGTTCCTCTCCCATAACAAATCCCTAAACATTATAGAAAAAAACAATAAAATAAAAAATAAATTTAAAGTGAGTCCTCAAACCAAGAAATGAAGCTCTCAGTGGGTCCAGAAACAATGAAGAATTCTTTAAAAACAAAAAGTAGGTACGGTTGGTGTTAAAGGAAAACAATGACCCAAAAGGCACAGAGGAAGTTCTATTGAAAAATGTGCACTTGTCCAGAAAGGGGTAGAAAGAGAGAAGAAGAGACCAAAGGTAACTGACCTGGTAGCATTGAGCGCATCAGTTAGTCTCCCATTCCCTCGCCCGAGGGCAGCAGACCACTATTGGTGCTTTCCTCCAGGAAAAAAAAGATGCTGTGAGAATTGGGAAGGAGCAGATGATAATACCCAGGAGGAAAGAGAGCATCCATGTCTAGAGGACAGGCATCACACAAAGCTATCCAGAGGCAGGTCCCACCCTTCTCAAACCTCACAGAAAAAGGCAAGATCAGTCTACTCCTTCTCCTAGACAGGCTGTATGCACAAAATAGAGCCGAGTCAAACAGATAAACTCAGTTGTAAAAAGGGAGGCACAATCTACTTTCATCAATAATTGAAAAAAGTCAACACTATGAAAGAAAAACAGCAAACTTAAATCTAGAATCTATACCTAGCAACTCAGAGGAACGAAAGTAAGCAGAATAGGACTTTAGAATAAGGAAAATTAAAATTACTAAGTTTCCAATTGTCACGATCTCTAGTTGATGCTTTCCTTTTGGACTTATTATCAGTAAAGCATCAACTAGAGATCATGACAATTGGAAACTTAGTCAGTGGACAAAAAGGAAAAACCAACAGATCAGTTGAAAGGTAGAATGAACACAATCGAAAGGAGAATTAGTGAGCTGGAAGATTGAGCCTAGAAATTCTCTGAGAATGCAGCAAAAATGAATTAAGAGGCAAAATAAGTCAGAGAAAGACAAATACTGTATGATCTCACTTATATGTGGAATCTAAAAAAACAAACTCATAAAAACAGAATAGATTGGTGATTTCCATGGGCAAGGATGGGAGATAGAAGAAATGGGTGAAGGTAGACAAAAGAGGTAAGATAGAAAGTGCCGGGGATGTAATATACAGCAGGGTGACTATAGTTAACAATACTGTATTGTATAATGAAAGTTGCTAAGACAGTAGGTCTTTAATGTTCTCATCACAAGAAAAGAATTTTGTAACTGTGTGAAGTGATGGATGTTAATTAGACACTTATTGTGATCAATTCACAATCTATACACATATCACGTTATGTTGCATATCTTAAACTAATAGAATGTTATCTGTTAATTATATCTCAATAAAATTGCAAAAAAAAGCAGAAAGGAATAAAGAGATTAGGATAGTTAGAGGAAGGTTAAGGATCATAGGAAACAGATAAAAAAATTCTGACATCCATTTAAAGGCTTTTGGGATGAAATGCTTATTTAAAGAAGTAATAGTAGACCTCTGAACTAAGAAACACAAAACTCTGCAGATTTAAAGTGCTCGGCAAGAATCAATTAACACCCTACATATGAATTATAGAACATCAAGGGGGAAAGAAAAACAGAAAAGCTCTGAAAAAGAAAAGGAGATTTACCTACCAAGGAAAAAGAGCCAGAATGCCATCAGACATTGCTTTAGCTACATGAAAAATTAGAAGTTCTAGGTGAAAATTATTTCAAGTCTGGAATTCTATAGACAGCCAAAATTTCACTCAAGAATGAAGACAAATGATATTTTCGAAGATACATGGGCTCAGAAAAATTATAGCCCACATTCTCTTAAAAAAATAATCACAAGAGGATGTTTTAAAGTAAGGAGAAAAAATAATTCAGGAGGGAGAGATGAGATGCATGAAGCAATGACACGTAAAGGGAATAAATAAGTAAAACTTACTCTGAAACCTAATATGTTGATTGTCTTAATGTAGATTGTATATTGGTACATGGGTTAAGACAGAGATTGAGCAGGAAGATAACTACTAGAAAAATAGACGAACAACTTCAAATAGAACGTATTTTTTAAAAGCAGGAGTAAAGAAAACTTGATAAAGACAAGAGAAGACAAGAATTGGAGAGAAGAAAAGCAATTGGAAATCACAGTGAATTGAAAACACACACCATGAAATAGGAACAAATCCAAACTTAGCACCATCAATATTAATGGGTTAAACTTGCTCGTGAGAGACAAACTCTTAGATTGCATTTGAAAAATCTAGCCACTTGCTGTTTTCAAGAAACAGACAAAACAAAATTTTCTCTGAAAACAAAGCAGTGGAAAATACTTGTTTAGAAATGGCTAACAAACATAAAGCAGATATAATTGTGTTAAGTAAAATCAAATTAAAGTAAAATCGAAAGAAAGGAAGATGTACACTTCATACTGATAAATGCAGCCAAGAAAAAATAACTGCTATGCGTGAAAAATACAGCTACAAAATAGTTGAAGCAAAAATTGACAGAATTACAAGGGGAAACTGAAAGATACAAAAATTGCTGTTGGAAACTTGAACAAACCACTCTAGAATACAAAATCGAAGAGAGAAATAAACAATAAGGATATAAAGAATTTTAGTATTAACACATCAATTGGTTTGGTATAAAATTTAGAGAACTTTTTACTCAATAAACAGAGACTCTACATCATTTTGTAACACATGTGCAATGGTCATAACATTGTCCATAAAAAAGGCCACAAATGAAATATCAACAAATTTCCAAAAATTAACTTTATAAGCAAAGTTCACTAAGTGATATACTCTAAAATTAGAAGTTAAAAACTAAGAGATAGATATCAAAAAACAAAGAAACAAACTAAACCAAAACAGGTATCCAAATATAAACCCACATATTTCTATATCATTTTTTGATTAAAGAGAAAGCAAAGTGGAAACTTTTAAACTTAATTAAAGAACTGCAAACAAAACAAATAAATTTTAAAAATATGTACATATTTTTTTTAATGTATAATGACAGAATTAAAAATATAAAAGTAGACATGAATAAAGTAGGAAACTGGTCCAATGCCTGGTTTTGGACAGAGCAACTGGTGGTTGCTCTGGCCAGTTTTCCCCAGGTGGAGCCTGGGACTCAAATGAATCTGGGTAGCTTCTTTCTGGTTTGGTGTTAGAAAAATGGCATCTTTTAAATGAACACTGCCCTTGATCAGCTGAAACAGAGGCCTCAGACTTCTAAGGACATCTCAAACAGGTCAGACTTTTGCCATAATCCTTAAAATACAAGAACTATAGTCTCTCATTTTTGGCAATTCCATAGATTGTCTTCTGACCTTGAGTTGACCTTCTTCTTAAAATAGACATCAGACTATCTCTCATTCTAAATGTACTATCTGGCTTTTCTTTCTTTTAAATTACCTTTGTGGAATGAGATTTTTCATGACCTTCTCCACTACTACTGGTAGATTAAAATGATTTGAAAGTGTTAGAAATGGAATATGTGCAAAGGAGTGCTCCCCCTCATTTAAAGCAGACCGAGGGTTTAAATGGGTTTTTAGAGTAAAGAGTTGTATGCCACCTAGTAACATGTATAGAAGGTTTACTTACATTTTGCTCATATTATTTATCATTAGGAGGATGTTATTATTAACACTGTATGACAAATATTGAGTGCCCCCTCTGTGCCTGGCATTGTGTCAGGTGTTTAAGACACATGCAGCTTCTAATCTAGAACTTCCAGTCCTGCATCCTGCAGCGTGCCTGCCACAGAAAAATATTGTTTCATGGTAGATTGGAGAGCTTAGAGATTCCATGAGGACCAAAGTGTAACCTGTTGAGGTCCGAATGCAGTGAATGGGTATCGTACACGAGGAAGCCGAAGCAATGGTCATGGGACAAGGTGGACTGCGAACCTCAGGAGAACGTCATTCTCTCCAGTTTGCATGGTCTAGGGGCTTGGGTCCAAAGTCGTGGAAGCCCAGAAAAGGGTCTTCTCAGTACACCTAGAGAGCAGAGATTCTCGGTGACATGCTGATACTAATTTCACACAAGATTGATTTTAAAATGCCAATTTGCCACTTTCCTGTGGCCAGAGTCATCCTGTTCTCAATCTCGCACACCACTTTCCCAGTACTAAGGTACCTGGAAAGTTGAATTAGTCCTCGGAAGATTGCTCAGAGGGCAGAGAAATAGAATGAAGGGAGATGGCTAATTTCGACATTTTCATCTGTGGCAAAATTGCCACACAACAATGAATGCTCTTAGGCAGAATAAAATTTAGTTCGTATCTGATAAGAGCCATTTCATTTTTTTTCTGCATCATCAGTGTGCAAATACGTCTTATTTTCACTCCTCCTC